CATGAAAGGATGTTGGATTTTATCAAATGCTTTTTCAGCATCAATTGAAATGATCGTTTTTATACTCCAATCTGTTGATATGTTTCACATTTATTGATTTGCATATCAATTAATATGCAAATGTTACAAATGCAAATGTTGATATGTTGAAACATCCTTGCATCCCTGGGATAGATTCCATTTGGTCATGATGAATAAACTTTTTAATGTGTTGTTCAATTTTGTTAGCTAGTAGTTTGCTGAGGATTTTTGCATCAATTTTTTTTAGGGATATTGGCCTATAGTTTCCTCTTTCTCTTTTTTTTAATGAGCTTTTGTCTGGTTTTGGTATCAGGGTAACATGGTCCTCATACAAAGAGTCTGGAAATATTCCCAACCACTCTTATTTCTCAGAATAGTTTGAGTAGGATTGCTACAGTTCTTCTTTAAATGTTTGTAAAATTCAGAAGTGAAGCCATCAGGTCCTAAGGTTTTCTTTGCTGGGAGACTTTTTTTTTTTTTTATTATTTTGTTACAGTTTTGATCTTAACTGTATGAAAAACCATGTAACTCTGTTTCTCCAGGATTAGTCCCTGGTGCCTTACTTAGCTCATCTGGTGAGGTCATGTTTTCATGTATGGTCTTGATGCTTGTGGATGTTTGCTGGTGTCTGGGCATTGAAGAGTTAGGTATTTATCGTAATCTTTGCAGTCAGTGCTTGTTTTTACCCATCTTTCTTGAGCAGACTTTCTAGGTATTCAAAGGGACTTGGGTGTTGTGATCTAAGGTTACAGGTCACTGCAGCTATATCTGTGTTAGGGTCACCCCAAGACCAGTAATGCTGTGTAAGTCTCTCAGACTTGCAGAGGTACAACCTTGGAGGTCTTGAATAAAATCTGGAATTAGTCTCCAGGTTCTTGAATAAAATCTGCAAGTAGTCTCCAGGCAGAGTCTCTTGTTCTCTTCTCTTACTTTCTCCCACACAAATAGAGTCTCTCACTCTCTCTCTCTGTCTCTGCTAAGCAACATGGAGCTGGGGGTTAGGTGACACAAGCCCCCTGTGGCCACCACCACTCGGATTGCACTGGGTCAGACCTATGTTCACTCAAGGACCTAAGACTCAAGGACCTAAGTAGGTGGCAGAACCAGCCAGGCTTGCATACATTTGGTTAAACCTGAAGCCAACAGGACTGTGTCTCACCAAAGCCTTGTAACCACTACCTGGTTACTGCCCATGTTCACTCAAGAATCTAGGGCTCCACAATCAGCAGGTGGCAAAGCCTGCCAGGCTTGCATCCTTCCCTTGATGGCAGTGAGTTCCCCCAGGCCCTGGGTAGGTCCAGAGATGCTGTCTGGGAGCCAAGGACTAGAGTCCAAAACCTTAGAAATCTATCTGATGCTCTATACTACCACAACTGAGCTGACTCTCAAACCACAAAACAAAGTCCTTCCCATTCTTCCCTCCTCTTTCCACAGGCAGAGGAAATCCCCGTGGCCACCATCACCACAGGCCCATAGGGAGCACTTCCAAGCTACTACTGATGTTCAGCAAGGGCTCTTCAGTCAGCTTGTGGTGAATGCTGCCAGGCTTGGGACTCACCCTTCAGGGTAGTGGGCTCTCCTCTGGCAGAGTGCAGGTCCAGAAATGCCATCCAAGAATCGAGGCCTGCAATCAGTAACACCAAGAGCCTACTTGGTATTCCATCCCACTGTGGCCAAGATAGTACCTAAGGTGCAAAACAAAATTCCCTTTACTTTTCCTTCTGCTTTTCTCAAGCAGAAGGAGTCTCACTGTAGCCACCACAGCTGTGAATGTTCTGGGTCTCACCTGAAGCCAGCATGTCTCATAGTCTCACCCAAGGCCACAGTGTACTACCTGGTTAACTCTGCTGGTCATTCAGGGCCCAAGGGCTCTTTAGTCAGCAGATTATGAATCTTGTCAGAACTGAGTCCTTCCCTTCACAGCAGTGGATTCCCTTCCAGCCTAGGGTATACCTGTAAATGTCTGGGATCTAGGACCCAGAATGGGGACCTCATGACCCTACCTGGTACCCTATCCTACTGTGGCTGAGCTGGTCTCCAAATGCAAGACAAAGTCAAAGTCCTCTTTAGTCTTCCTCTACTCTCCTCAACAGAAGGAAGGAGCCACTTTCTTTGCTGTGAGGTATTGTGCTGCATGGGGTTAGGGGAGGTAGGTGCAAGTACTCTCTTAACCATTCCAGCTGGTGTCTCACTAGGTTAGGCACCCCCACATCCATTGGCTTTAAGCCCAAAATAGCACTAGGACAAGACTTAAGAATTGTGGTCCTTGTGGCCTAGAGTGCCTTTTAAGTTTATTTAGCACTTTAGCCTGCAGTGGCAAGGCTTGCTGGAACTCAAGTTCCTACCACTAGGATGGGGGATTCCAATCTGGCTAGAACTGGTCTCCATTCTCCCTCTGTGGGTGGTTGTCAGATGAGTTCAGCTGGGTTTTGATTTCTGCTGTGACACAGCAGCACTGAGTTCAATGAACAGTCCTCTCCATTCTCTCTCTTCTAAGTGCTCATATTATCTCTCCGCACCACACAGCCACTGCCATGGCATGGGGGAAGGGTACCACCAGCGATTCAAGACTGTTTTCTTTCCTCTGCAGTGCCTCTTTCAGCAATATGAAGTTAAAATCAGGTACTGTGCTTGCTCACCTGATTTTTGGTTATGAAGATGATTTTTCTGTGTAGACAGCTGTCACATTTGGTATTCCTACATGAGGTATGATCAGTGGAGGCTTCTATTTTGCCATCTTGCTCCACCCTTAATCCAAATGATTGTGATATTTTAATAAATGTACACAATGTGTTATGATTAAATCAGGATAATTAGCATATCCATCACCTCAAACCTTTATCATTTCTTTGTCGTCATAACATTCAATATCCTCTTTTTTAAGGGCCAGGCACAGTGTCTAATGCCTGTAATCCTAGTACTTCAGGAGGCCAAAGTGGGAAGACTGCTTGAGGCCAGGAGTTGGTGACCATTCTGGGCAACATAGTGAGTCCCCATCTCTATAAAATAAAAATAAAACATAGCTGTGGTACATGCCTGTAACCCCAGGTATTTGGGAGGCTGAGGTGGGAGGACTGCTTGGAGCCCAGGAGTTTGAGGCTGTAGTGAGCTATGATCACACCACTATACTACAGCCTGGGCAAGAATGCAACTTGGTCTCTAAAAAAAAAGAAATAACAATAAAATGCGAAACCTTCTCTTCTAGCTATTTGAAAAAATGTAATAAATTAGTCTTTACTACAGTCACCCTACAAAACTACAGAACACTAGAACTTATTCCTCCCATCTAGCTGTTAACCAACTTCTCTCTATCCTCCCCTCCCCTCCACCCCTCATTATCTAGTAAACACAATTCTACTCTCTAATTCTATGAGCTCAAATATTTTAGCTCCCATATATGAGCAAGAACAAGAGATATTTATCCTTCCATGCTTGATTTATTTAACTTAAATGTCCTCCAAGCTCATCCATGTTGCCATAAATGACAGAATTTTATTCTTTTTTTTTTTTCTGGCTAAATAGTGTTCTATTTTGTGTGTATACACATTGTCTTCATTCATCTGTTGATGGACATTTAGATTGATTCTATCTTGGCTGTTGTAAACAGTGCTGCAGTTAACATGGGGATACAGGAGTCTCTTCGATATACAGGTTTCCTTTCTTCACATAGATACCCAATAGTGGGATTCCTGGCTTGTATGGTAGCTCTGTTTTTAGTTTTTCAAGAAACCTCCATACCATACTATTTTTCTATATGGCTGTGCTAATGTACATTCCCACCAACAGTGTATAAGAGTGATCTTTTCTCCATATCCTCATCAGCATTCATTTTTTGTCTTTTTGATGACAGCCATTCCATTCTATCTAGGGTGAGGTAATATCTCATTGTGGTTTTGATTTGCATTGCCCTGATGATTGGAGATATTGAGCATCTTTTCATATACCTGTTGGTCATCTGTATTTCTTCTTTTGAAAAATGTCTATTCTGATCCTTTGCCTATTTTTAAATCAGACTGTTTATTTTTTACTGTTGTTTGTGTTTCTTGTATATTCTGCGTATTAATCCCTTATAGAATGAATAGTTGGCAAATATTTTCTCCCATTGTGCAGGCTGTCTCTTCACCCTATGGATTATTTCCTTTGCTGTGCAGATACAGCATTCTGCTTTTGAAAACCATTTGAGTTATGACTGACATACAAAAAGATGTACATGTTTAATGCATACAACTTGATGCATTTGGAGAATGCATTTGATGAACAATCTATGCCACAAACTCTCACTTCCAAAAGTTTCCTTCCCTCCTCTTGATTTACTATTTATCATAAGAACATTCTTGAAAAGAGAAAATTACAGAAATGGCAAACAGATTAGTGGTTGCCACAGGTCAAGGAAAAAGTAGGAATAGGAAGGAGGTGGGTATAGCTATAAAAGGCCAACAAAAGGAATCCTGTGGTGATAGAAGTGTTCTGTATCTTGAGTATATATCATTGCCAATTCCCTGGCTGTTGTAATGGACTGTAGTTTTACAACATTTGTAGGGGAAATTGGGTAAAAGGTATATGGGATATGTATATTATTTTTTACAACTACATGTCAATCCACAATTATCTCAAAATTAAAAGTTTAATAAAAATAATTTTAAAAAACATTTGGCTGCCAGAGATGTTACAAGATAAGATTACCGTCATCTACCTTAAATGACTTAATTATTCTTCTTCCTGGAAGCAAGAAGTTAGATAAAGTGACCAAGGGAACTCATCAAGGTTTTCCATAGGTCTACATCCATAGAATGGTACACTGCTAAATAGTGTTTAACAGTCTTTAAAAAATAAAAATGGGTTAAGTTTAATCATAAAGCAATGGAATGTGACTTTCTAACCACTGAATGAAAATGAAATTATAACTACTTCCATACTACATATAAAACATATAGCTTCCTTTTGAAATTTTTATAAATATATTGCATATCAAGACTTACCTGCTCTTCTCTGTCTTAATTCGTTTAACATTCAATTTCCAGGTGACAAATGCTTTATTAATTCTGAAAGGAAAAATCCTGTTAATATTCCATATCCATAAACCATGTACTTACATGGAATAAATTTAGTAAAAGCTTAGTAATATCAGAATATTCTCCAGAACATGTTTTACTCATCCTGAGTTACCCAAAGTAAATGCTAAACCATATAAATTTTATCTCAAACTATCAACTGAACATAGAACAAAAGGTAAATGTAAATGAAAGTCCTTATAATTCTCATAGATGCAGGATTCACTTAGCTGCAACATTCCAATAAATATTAAAAATTAATTTTAAAATATTGCTTCCCTTTATATTGGCTTACTTTGGAAAAAGACTTCACATTTCAAGAAAAGTCAAGATTCAATTTTCAGTAATAATGAAAAGGTACATTGATAAAAAGTCTGTACAGTAGTAAATAAAAAATTAATGTATGTCATTTTGATATTATTTAATCCATATGTAAAAATGAATTTATAATTTTTAAAATTCAAAGAACCCATGTGAGAAGGAATTGGAAAGTTTCCCTGGTTACTATTTATTACCAATAATAATCATGCATTCTGAAATAGACGTGCCAACTGTTTTTGCAAATCTCAACTCTAAATAAATATTGCGACCTCTATTATGCACATGTGGGACTAGGCTAATGCAATTTCATAATCCCTCCCTTAGTAGCCTCTGCATTAGAGGAAAACAACCACCTTTAAATTAATACTGAGATGTCATACTGTTTGCCAATATGAGATTGCTTCTATAGCTGGTGAGAGCCAGTGGGTACATGAAAATAGTGGATATAGGGGTGTGTCTGAGAAACCAACGAAACAACCAAACAGCCAATCTTAGTGATGACGTTGGCTAATTTTGAATCAAAGACAGCTGAAAGAGGCCTGGAGCCATCCAAGCAGTTCAAAGAGAATCCCATGATAGCCTTCAAACAGGCCCACCAGAGGCCTTGGAAATCAGGACTGCCTCAAACAAAATCTAGTAACTTGACCTTAAATCCAGCTCCAAAGAAGCACTTCACCTAAGTTACTAATTCACTTTAATCTAAATCCATAGAGTCACGGTAACTCAGAACCCTAGAAGATGCCTGAAAATCCATAAGAATCAGAGGGGAACCCAATGATAGTGTAAGGAATATTTGCACCAGGTCACAAAAATTAATATACCACAAAATTTTCATGAAGTAACACAATGCTACTGATGGTCTAATCATCCCTGTGCTGGCATCACCAGCTTAAGTTGTTAACACTTCATCTTTATCTCATTTTTCTGTTTGAAATATTACCTTTTACGATATAGTGATCTAAGAAAAACTACAAAAATATTTAAAATAAAATTTAAAAATTAAGTAAATCTATATTAACCATACAAATTAAGTAAACATAAAATTAAATATAAACTAATATGAAATTTATTTTTTTCTTAACATGAATAAAGAAAATTAATCATTTTGACTGTAGACTTTGATGTCAAATGTCTTGTAAAAAGACAATTCTTGTCCCAGTTCCAGTTGAACTTAAAAAGTTTAATAAATAATAATTATTTAGAGCAGAACAAACCCTGAGGATTTATCAGAAGGTAAGGATAACAGTGGAAAGTCTGACACTGACAGTTTCAAGTAAATAGATACAGAAAATAGTACTTTGGATAATATCTTGAATTGATAATCCAGAATCCAAAACCTATCTAGCCCCAATTATAGTTCCTAAATTACAGGGATGCAATTATCACATATCTTTGATGAGAAACTTCTCGGAACTGTTACTGAGTAATCTACACTGCATGTGTCAGTTCCCAGAAAATAACAGAACCAGCTTCATTTCCTACAAACTTCAACATTCCAGGAACACCACTTCTACTGTCAAATCCATATTAGACTTGTTCCTGCTTCACAACTTTGGAACTTGCTATATTCTCCGTCTGGAGATCCACATGGCTGTCTCTTTTTCATCATTTAGGTCTTTGCTTCAATGCTACATCTCTGACCATCCTATCTAAAGCAGCAATGCACACACACACACATCTCTATTTCTGTTTTGTCATATTTCTAGGTCTCATCACTGTCTGAAATTATCTTATTTGCTTGTTTATTATCTATCTCCCTCCATTAGGATATAAGTTCTATAGGAACAGAAACCTTGTATATTTTTTCATAGTTCTATCTCCAGTTCTTACACCACTGAAACAAAATAGGTACATGATAACATTTATTCAATAATTAATTTCTCTCACAAAATCCTTCTTCTCTTACCAAAAAAAACAAAAACAAAAACAAAAAAACTTTCTCAGGTCCTTAGTTATTTAAGCTATTTACATACTAAACAATTTAAAATATTATTTATCTGTTTTCCTAGTCCCCAGCGGACAATAACATATCACAAGAAAAGGCAGACATTAGAGAAGAAACAAGAAAATTATAGAACTAGATACAAACACAAAAAGAACAACAATCTGGAACTACTTTGTGAAGAATCAGTTTCAGGAATCCTGATGTGATGTGATGTAATGTAATGTACCTTAAAACTAAATAAATGTTTAATCATGAACTTGAATCAACAAACTGCCCTCAGCTCCCTTGCTGTGTTTTATTTTTCCTTCACCTACACTTACTCTCCACCCGGTATTTGGCCTATTTGCATGTTTTTTATTATCTCTCACCCACTATGATATAAATTAGAGTGCAGCAGAATTATTTGATTTGTTCAATACAATATCTCAGCATCTAGAATAATGCCTGGTTCTTAACATACTCACAATAAATATTCATATAAACAAACATACAGAAAAAAACGTAAACTCAGGTCAACATAAAGTTGACTCTTAAGCCGCACAGGTCCATCTACGTGTATATTTTCTTCCACAACTGCCACTCCTGAGACAGCAAAACTAACCTCTCCTTTTCCTCCTCCTCCTCCGCCTACTCAATGTGAAAATGACAAGGGTGAAGAACTTTATTATGATCTACTAACATTTAACAAGTAGTAAATTTATTTTCTTTCCCTTATGATTTTCTTAACTTTCTATTAACTTTATCATAAGAATGCAATATATATCTACCAGAAAAAATACGTTAATTGATTACGTTACTGATAAAGCTTCTCGTCAACAGCAGGCTATTAGTATTAATAGCAAAGTTTGGGTAGAGTCAAAAGTTATACTCAACTGTGTAGATGATCAGGGCCCCTAACCCTTGCATTGTTCCAGGGTAAACCGTAGGGTCTATTTAAGTTTGCTTGACTATAAAATATTTTTACAATATTTACCCAAAAAGACTAAAATTAAGAGTTTTAATACAGAAAAGAGTAAGCTTCCTTTATCTAAAAAAGTTTTTATGGAACACCCCATACCTCATAAGTTACAGGTAACTTATAATGGCATTTCCTGATAAGTTACAGGTAACAAACGCTTTATTAATTCTGAAAGGAAAAATGCCTCTTAAATGCCAAAATTATTGGCATTTCTTCATAAGTTACAAAGGAAATGGAGTGTTCCATAAAAATTTTTTAGATAAAGGAATCAGTACTATTTTCTACTGATATTACTGTAGCAGAACCCAGATGTCACTCAGGCAACTGCTCTTTCAACAGGATCAAGCTACAAAAAATTAGCTTCATTTTCTTTCACCTCACCGGAAACCAGAAAATATCTTGAACTGCCGTAATAAGTAGTAATGTCTTCTTTCTGATAGCCATTCCAAAGTAGATATGAGTTCTACTTCTTTTATACTACCAACTATATTAATAACCTACAAAATAAAGCACAAAAGCATGATTTTATTTCTTTAAAAAATATGTACCATTTTCAAGAAATTAAGAAAGGCTGTATTTGGCTAATAACTTCTTGCCTTTATAAGTAGGCTTTTTCCGTGTATGAATCCTCAGCCACTTCATCTACACCCAAATTTGTTTTCCCTCAACAAACTGCTTCTATACTTGCCATTTTCTAATGCTATTTCTTATGCTCCAACAGAGAGAAGAGAAACTTCCTTCTGACCCTAAGATACTTTTCATAAATAGCTGTTCAAATTTGAGTCTCATAATTTTTACATTTTCTATAATAGTATTTATGAAGCTGATTTTAGCTACAGAGATGTGGTAGTCCAAAGTGGCTTATACTCTCACTACCCACATACCCTATTTTGATATTCAAATACTACATGCCTTTCATCAAGGAGTTCTCTCTCTTCCCAAGAGTCCCCCTCCCCTATTTGAATGTTACTATTTTTAAAAATTTTCTGCCGGGCGCAGTGGCTCACGCCTATAATCCCAGCACTTTGGGAGGCTGAGGCGGGTGGATCACGAGGTCAAGAGATCGAGACCATCCTGGTCAACATGGTGAAACCCCGTCTCTACTAAAAATACAAAAATTAGCTGGGCATGATGGTGCGTGCCTGTAGTCCCAGCTACTCAGGAGGCTGAGGCAGGAGAATTGCTTGAACCCAGGAGGCGGAGGTTGCAGTGAGCCAAGATCGTGCCATTGCACTCCGGTCTGGGCAACAACAGCAAAACTCTGTCTCAAAAAAAAAAAAAAAAAAAAAATTTCTTCCAGATGTAAAAGTATGCATATTTTAATCAACACATGTGTACCTATGTGTATATTTATATAAATTTAGAAGTTGTTCCTCCAACTTCAGAGATATTTCTGTATCTGCACATACAGATCTACCTCATACAAAGATGTCATCCTGCCCATGCATAGAGTTCATTTTAGTTGGGAGGCTGGAAGGGCAGAAAAAGGCAGGCAGACATAAAACAAATCATTAAAACAAGTATTTTATATTTTCAACTTGTGATAAATATCAAAATGCTATATAAGAGTATAAAAGGGGGATTTCTATATCTGGCAGTAAAGTTTCTGACAGATGTGCCAATAAAGAGTATTCTTTTCTTTATTGTTACAGTTTCCATTATCCTAGCAAATGCTAGTTCTTCCTTTAAAAAATTATACCAAGTATTAACAAAGTATTTGAGAGATGAAAAAATTTCTTAAAGTTGAATCTTCAAACCTAAATCTCTACACAAAAGAAAAAACTTCACTATTAAATAGCATTCTCCCGAGGAGATTCTTATAAACTGTTCCACAAATGACCAAGTATCTGTGAAATACAAAGATAAATGTATGCAATTAAATTCTACACTAGATAATATTTTTGTATTATAATTATGAAAGCTTAAAACAGGCATTAAACATTACCTTTGAGATAAATGAAGCAGTAATAATCCAAAATTCTTTGCAATGTTTAGCTGTATGAGCTGAGACCACCTGAAGATCATATGGATTGTAGAGGGATTTAGGACTTTTCCGAGGAAGGCAATATACAAATTCTCCATCATCTTGCAAAGGTTTCTGGGATTTTAAAAAAATAAACAAATTTAATTAATTTGACTAAATTAAAAAATTAATACAATGGCTGAACAGATTACCCAGTAAATTGAAACAATTTTAATACAGATTAAAAATAAGAATATTTGGAGAAAGCTAACATCAAATTGTGTCTAAAGAATGTTCAACAAGATCAATCTTATGAAAGATTTAATATATGTAATATGTAATTTTCATCCTTAATTCATTAAACAAATGCAGAAATTAATATTTAGATGGAATTGAGTGAGGTGGCTCACATCTGTAATCCCAACTACTCAGGAGGCTAAGATGAGATCACTTGAAGCTGCAGGAAATTTTAATCACACCATTGTGGCTCCAGCCTGAGTGACACAGAAAAACCCTGTTTTTCAAATTTTTAAAAAATGAGTATTTTGATAAGTTAGGCAATTTGAGAAAAGTCACAAATTCAGGAAATGGTAAAGCAGAGATATGAATCCAAGTCTGACCCTAAACCCATATTCTGAGCTATTGCAATAAACTATAACACCTCTTCAATACTTGGCATTGAAAAATCAGCCAATCCACACTAAGAAAAATTTTAAGTAAAATTTCTTTTAGCTTTAAAATAAAACTTTCTTGAAACTGTCAACTTTTGATAAAAAAATTCTAAAATTATAAGAAAGTTTTAGTCTTTTCTAAGTAATTACATTTTACCATGAAAAAAGCATTTACTATTTAGTGATGTCCTCAGAAGCTATTTAATTGTGTAACTAAATGGTTTCCAGTCACTGTAGATTTAAATTTTGGATCCAGTTTTACACTTTTTAAAATTCTGTCTTCCTTGAAGATTACTTGTTTCTTCTCAATTGTTTTAGCTATTTCACTTTCTTTCAGCTTCTGATATAATCTATATTAAACTCACAAAAACAAGTTTAAAAACTGCAAATAACAGGAAATAAATGAGCTCTAAATGATGACTTGTACAATGCATGGCCTTTTTAATAGTTATTTGGCTATTTGAGTTATTTATATTCTAAATTAGGTTTCACAACGTTACTAAGAAATAGTGTAGATACAAATATTCCAAATGAATCATATATATAATTAAAATCAAATTATAGAAACCTAAGAATAATATGTTCCAATTAAATTATTTTTTCAATTAAGAACAAGTGTTTTATCATATTCTCAATCCTTTCTTCACATACAAATGAAATTCACTTTATTTGAGAGTCCAAGGAACTCATGTACATCTATGGTTTTATTTTGTTTTTAAACTACTGTACCCATTACCTGCCAGGTACCATGGCATATATTTAATTTTCATAGTCCTCCAAAGTAACTATTATTATCTCCATTTCAAGGTCAAAAAAAACTAAAGCTCAAGAGGTTAGGAACTTGTCTAAGATAACACAGTGAGTGTGTAGAGATTCAAAACTAGGTGAATCTGATTCAATTTTACATATACTTTCCTTCAGATTGTTGATTCTGAAAAATGATCAAAAAACCATTTACCTTCATGGTAACAGTGTAGAGAGGGCCAGTTGCCTGTTTTTGTAAATAGATTTTTATTGGAACACAGTCATATCCATTTATGTGTGTATTATCTACTAATGCTTTGGTACTACAGTGACAGAGTTGAGTAGTTGCGATATCTAAAATATTTATTATCTGGTCATCTTTAGAAAAAGTCTGCTGATCCTTGGTGGGGAGGAGTGGTTCTTAATTGTGCATTAGAATCATGTGGAGAGCTGAATAAAATACAGATTGCTAGGCTCCACATCCCAAGGTTTCTGATTCAGTGGGTCTATGGGTACAGATGAGAATATGTATTTCTAATAAGTTCTAAGGTGATTCCAGTGTTGCTTGCCTGGGAACATACTTTGAGAATTCCCTATCTAAAAGTAGGGAGATATGAACCTGTTCAATCTTAAAGCACCTGTAATAAATGAGGTCCCAGGACACACACCTTAGTTCTTATCACAGCTTCTACCCTCTGGTCATGTGACCTTGGACAAGCTAAAATTTCTCTGAAGAGGCCAATGGGTAAGAAAAAAATGAATAGCATAAGGAAATACAGAGCAGATGAGATAGAAAATCACGTACCAAGGAGTTAGAGAGTGAGACGAATAGAATGCTATATTACCTTAAAATTTCTTCTTAAATCCCAGAAAAAGTGATACACAGAAACCAAAAAGTAGACTCGAGTTTCAGGCAGATTATACCCCTTTTCTGGGAACTCACTCAGAGAAAGTGATAAGAGGGGACAGGCACAACATTTTGATGTGTTATAGACTTAAAGTTTATATGCTTTATATATTTTCCATTTCTTAAATAAAAATGAAATTATGTCAAATACTTTTGCATTTACCATAAAATAATTGTAACTTGATATTAACATGTTTGATTTTGACATATCTGACATAAAATGAAAATTAAAATATAATTTCAATATTGATTTTTAAAGATCAAAATGAAATAAAATAGAAAAATACCTTTAAAGTAATCTTCGGAACTGCAATTTTGGAACTTCCATATTTCAAACTGTGCTGTGGTAATATAGTTTGCCAACCAAGCTTATCTCGTAGCCTAATAATATTTCTTATCACATCATCATCTTCTGGTTCTGGTAAAAAACATTTTTAAAAATCCAATATAAGTGCAAATGTGGAAATGTGGGCATCACTTAAGGATAATGCATAATATTCCAAATCCTTCTTTTCTTTCTTTCTTTTTTTTTTTTTTTTTTTGAGACAGAGTCTTGCTCTAACACCAGGCTGGAGTGCAGTGGTGCAATCTGGCTCACTGCAACCTCTGTTTTCCGGTTTCAGGAAATTCTCCTACCTCAGCCTCCTGAGTAGCTGAGACTACAGGCATGCACCACCACACCTGGCTAATTTTTTTTTTTTTTGTATTTTTAGTAGAGACGGGGTTTCACCATGTTGGCCAGGATGTTCTCCATCAATTGACCTTGTGATCTGCCCGCCTTGGCCTCCCCCAGATATTTCTATATAGAGAAAAAATGTAAATGGTAACTTAAAGTATTGATGAAGATTATATAATTAGAGGAGAAAATATAGCTTAAAATTCAGTTTTAAAAGAAGCCGAAAAGAGGGAATAATATTTATCCTGTTAAGAAAGATGTCATGAAAGACCTAATTCATAATTACACAGGCAGTAAGCAAGAGACTAGGAATAGGAGCCAGTTACTTTTCTTAATAAATGCCTAAGCTGGGATAGGGGAAATTGGATCAGAAAAGCAGGGATGACAGTGTGGGATGGAAATATTTTTCCTAAGGATACTCATCCCACAGACACCTTTCAGCATCTCTCCCTTAATGTCTTAGCTGACAGTTAACAATCCTCTCCTTCTTTAAAGACTCTCTTTTCTTGGCTTTATTCACCATGCTATACAGGTTGTCTAGGTGGCTCTTAAAATTCTTTTCTTGATAGAACAAATAATGGGAGAAGTATACAAAAAGCCATGCTAAGAAGTTATTATTTCTGCCCTCTAGAAACTACAAACAGCATCTGACTAAAACAAATTATTTGCTAAGGATTAAATGAGACTTGAGCTCTTGTATAAGACAGTATTATGACTAGGATGAGGCACTTACGTGACTCTAAGAGTGAGTCCCTCTTTACATTTTGTGACCTAGGTGAGGTACTGAAAATTAGTATTAAGGATATGGTACAAACTGTGTATGTCTGACAATAGGATAAGTAACATTATAGACCCAAGTATAAAAATGTATACCTTATAGAAATTAAAATAGTGTGGTATTGACATAGAAAAGCAGAGAAGTAGAACAAATTAGAGTCTTGAAATATAACTATGTTTATAAGGCAATCTAATAAGTGAAAAATAATTCAAATCAACAGAAGAAGGATTAACTATTCAATAAATCATAATACAAAAGTGGTTAGCTATTTGGAAAAAATGTGCAGTTATATGCAAGTGTAAATTATAGATGGATTAGAGCTGTAAGTGTGAAAAAAACAAATTACAGAAATAGAAGAAAATATAGGAGAATATGTTTATAAACCTGGGGTAGTGAAGGCTTCCTGAAAAATATTCAAAGCATGTTAAAAGGAAAACAATGATCAATTTGACTTGCTCAAACTTAGCAACTTACATACAAGAAACGTCACCATACACAAAGTTAAAATATAATTAACAAATTTTAAAAAGATATTTATAACCTATATAACAGGCTAGAGATTAATATTCTAAATATTTCAAGAATTCTTAGCAATCAATAAGAAATAAACATTTTGATAGAAAGATGAACAAAAAATTTACAGGAAAAGATAAATGGCCCATAAGCATATGAAAAAGTATTCAATGTCATTAGTAATCATGGAGTTACAAACTAAAATAAAATGAAAACACGTATCTCACTCAGACTGGCAAAAAAAATTAAAATTGGAAAATATCAACTATTGGCAAGGGTATTCCTCTTGTGCAATATTGTAAAAGTATAATAAATTAGCACTTCCATTTTTGAGTGTGATTTGGCACATTCAATAGATCTGACAAAGACTGTTGGAAAATGGAGGCAATTTCAGCAAATAAAACAAAGAACCCTTTTTCAGAATAAACAGTAAAATATAAGGAACACATAACTTTCAAAAAGCTGGAAAGAAAACATTTTTCTAAAAAAAATTAGTTCATAACAGAATCAAGAATGCTTACTAAAAAGAAACAAGGTAAGGAGTCTGGCAAATTTTGGTTGGTTCCTCTGCTCAGTGTCTAGCAGGGCTGAAATCAAAGTGTCAGCTAACCATGCCCCTTATCTAGAGGCTGGGCTAGTGAAAGACTTGCTTCCAAACCCCTCATCTGAATTCTCATTTGGAGGATCTACTGGGAAAAGAGTGCTTCCAAGCTCCCTCAGGTTGTTAGAGGTGGAATTCATTTCCTATGGCTATGTGACTGAGGTCCCCATTTTCTTGGTAGTTGGCTGGGTTCAGTTCTCGGCTACCTTTAGCGTTCTTGCCATGTGGCCCTCTCTACAATATGGCAGTTTGTTCTTTCAAAGGCAGTGAAAGGGGCTCTCCTACTGCTTCTGGTCTTTTAAGGGCTTATCTGATTAGGTCAGGCTTGCCCATAATAGTCTCTTTTGATAAATTTAAAGTCAACTGATTAAGGTCCTTACGTACATCTGAAAATCCCTTTTGCCATATAAAATAACGTAAAAGCATGGGAGTGACAATCCATCGTATTCACAGGTTCTGCTTCCACTTAAGGGGAAGCAATTATACAAAGCATGTACACCAGAGGATAGGAACACTGGAGGACATATTAGAATTCTGCCTATAACTTCCTTTTTGTAAAAAACGACAAAATGTTGTTAAATCCTGGTAATGAGTACATGAATGCTAAATTATTTTCTCTATATTGCTTATTTGAAATTTTTAATAATTGTTTAAAATCTTTAAAAAATGCTAAATACTTAGGTCTTTATCACTTTATGTATTCATGGATTTATAAAAGCTAAATGAGGGAAGCAAATTAAAGAAATGCAATCAGTTAAGAATTAGAATTTTATTTATTTGGCAGCCATTAAGCCTAAGTTGTTGTCCTTTCTTATACTAGATGCCAAGTTCAAAACACTAAAGGACAATGCAACAAAATACTAAGAATTCTTAATGCATAGCAACATTTGTTGCATAAAGCCACTGTACCAGTTTTCTGGATGCATGATATGGTTTGGCTTTGTGTCCTCACCCAAATCTCACCTTGAATTGTAATCCCCATAATTCCCATGTGTCAAGGGTGGAACCAGGTGGAAAAGCTGGATCATGGTGGTGGTTTCTCCCATGTTGTTCTCATGACAGTAAGTTTCATGAGATCTTATGATTTTATAAGCATCTAGCATTTCCTTTGCTTGCACTCACACCATCCTGCCACCCTGTGAAGAAGGTGCCTGCTTCTCCTTTGCCTTCGACTATGATTGTAAGTTTTCTGAGGCCACCCCAGCAATGCAGAACTGTGAGTGAATTAAACCTCTTTTCTTTATAAAATACCCAGTCTCAGGTATTTCTTCAAAGCAGTGTGAGAACAAACTAATACGAGGCACAACAAATTACTGCAAATTTAGTGGCTTCGAACAATATATATTTACTATCTCACAGTTTCTGTGGGTCAGTCTGGATACAGCTTAACTGGATCCTCTGCTTTAAATCTCAAAGGCTGTAATCAAGGTGTTGGTTGGGAATGAATTCTCATTTGGAGGCTCTACTGGGAAAAGACTGCTTCCAACCTCCCTCAGGTTGTTGGAAAAATTCATTTCCTTGTCATTGGAGTCATAGCAGCTTGCTTCTTCAAAGCCAGCAAAGGAGAGAAGACTCTAGAACAAGTCCACTAGTAAGATGGAGTCTTGGATAACATAATATAATCACAGCAGTGACAGCCCATCACCTATTAGTTAGAAGCAGTCACAGGTCGTTTCCACATTCAAGGTGAAAGGATTATAGAAGGGCATGAACACCACCACGTTCATGCAGGTTTTGTGCTATATGAAGTACTTACAAGTTTGAGGATATTTGTTCAAAGAAAGGATGAAGCCTGTGTGAGTGAGGGGCCTTGAAGCTTAAGCTTCAATAGTTTTATGATAAATCCAGCTCTGTACCATGGTGTTTCAGTGAAAAACAGAAAAGTTTCCTTTTTCTCATAAAACTTAAAATATTAATATCAAGAAGAATATCAGGTATAGAGAAAATATAAACTAGAAAATGTTAGTGGAAGAAAATCTATTTAAATGAACTACTTATTTGAGATTTAAACTCTTTATCAGACAAAGGCATAAAACAAATAAAATGAAATCATCAAGTTTCCTACAGTTGTATGTATTAAACCATAAAGTTTGCATTATTTATCATTCTAAAATCATAGCCTTCAGAGATTGTTCTTAATTAGGAACACAGTCATTAAACAGTCCGTCAATTTTTAACATAATATTTTAGATTTTCAAAAAGAGTTTTAAAAGCATTTTAATAATCCTTTAAGAAACCAAACACATAAAATTCAGTAAGACTGTTTTTTTTCTAAAGTCAGGGTCCAATATAAGCACACAAACCAAAGAATAATCTGAAAAAGTATAGTGATTTCTAAGCAATCTGGTTCAGTGATACCACATACCTGTTCTATCATATGACACAGGCCTGGCTTTCCTAACTTTTGGACAAGCATGAGTTTGCTCCTTTTTTCCTCTTGATTTCCCTTTCTCCTTAAGAGAAGTTGGTTCTAGAGAAAGCATATGTTGTTGAGTTATACTTTCTTTAAGGTAATCTGAAAATAAAACCATTATAAATTTAATAACTAGTATGAGCTATAAATAATTCCACAGTAATCCCACATACCCAACAATATAGTTAATGATTATATAAGGCAGCATAGCATGGTAGTTAAGAGGACAGGTTGAATCCCACTACCTGGGTTCCAAGCTGATATACAAGCTTTAACACTCATAGTCACGTGATTTACTTTGTAAGTTACTTATCTGCCTTGTTTTCCTTGCCTTTGAAATGAGAATTGTCATAGTAAGAACCTCATAGGTTGTTACAAGAGTCAAATTAGTCAATAAACTTAAAGCACACAGTAAGTGCTTACAAAGGTAAATGTTAGTTAACTTTATTATTAGGCTGATACAAAAGTAATCGTGGTTTTGAATACTATACTAAATCTTTAGAGAGTAAATCCTCACATGAAATAAATACAGAAGAGGACCCTTTTTATTAAGTGTAATTTGATAACTGAGCAGAGAAAATATTTAGATACAAATACAGAAAAGTAACAAAAAGTCTATTTCTTATTTTGTCTATGGCTTACCTAATTGGTAGATTTAACACATAGAAGAATGGGGAAAATATTAAAAATAAAGCTTTTAAGAAAGAAATATATTTTCTTGTTTCTTATTCATTTAACAAATATTTCTGTAGTGCAAGGCATTGTGCTACAACTTAGTAAGGCAAAAGACACAATAATTACAAACAAAATAAAGGGGTACAATGAAATAAACAGTTAAGTTTTATTTCAACCAATAGTCCTAATTCAGAAGAGAGAGATAATTTCCCACTTGTATAATCAGAGGAGACCACAGGCCTCTCCTGTTCCAAAGATCAACTGTTGAATGATGGTAAGGTTTTCAATCATCGGGTAATGAGGAGGGTGGCTGGGGATGAGAGAAAGATAAGAAAACAAGAGGATTGTTGAGATCACAGTGAAAACGTGGGCATTAGTAGAAAGATTGGTGAAGTAGCTGTGAACGCTTTCCTCTATCTTTACCGCTAGTCCAAGAATTTCTTCAACCTCTCTACCTTAGTTGAAAACTCGTTATTTCCTATGGCATTACTGATCTGTGACCCTCTGGTTAGTGGTTGTTTATATTTCCACACTCTGTATGCCTCAAGATTGGAAAGTGGGCTTGTTTTAACATTCCTTACTCTCCATTCACCACTCCCAAATCATTACAACTTGCCCTGTTTCTTTAAGAATTAAAATAAAAATCCTATTCCTTTTAAGCTCATGCTTTTGACTACACTATATTCTTCTCCTCTTCATTGATAAGTACCAATTGCCTGGTCACTCAATCTGGAACTCTGGCTCTAGGGAGAACCAACTTTCTCCATGCTAAATCTGCCATCACACAGATGACTTCAGTGTTCATGAATTAAGACCTGTCTAAGGCTGTGCTCTCCTCCCCCATTTTCTAGGTGTCCTCCCAACGCTCTACATCAACCAACCACATTCACAATTACATAATAGTGCTTGTCATCACTTGCCCTCCATCCTCCCAGCTTGTTTAATTCTCTCAACATGACCATTCTTTAAGCTCATCAGGACCTCTAGCCCATTGCCCCACTACTTTCTTACAATCCATCGTCCCTCTATTTTATTTCACCTTTCTCTTTATCCAGCTTATATTATGTTGTCTTTCCACAGCACTCTTGCTAACAAACACCCTCTTTCTGTTGGCCTCACCTGTTTGGCAAAACACCAACCCTGGATAACACCAACTCTATGTGTTCTCTGTGCCTACATCTGTACATCCCAGTGCCGTTACAGAGAGGCCCTAAGTGGATTGGTAACCCCCAAAATGCATTTTAATTAACCACAAATGAATCTGAACACACACCAAGAATCCTATTGTCTGTCTGCTTAACTTGCTCTTCTTCCTTTTCAATGACATATTTCAAATTTTCTCCATGCTCCTCAAATCTCTAAACCTTTACCTTTATAGTCTCTCCTCTAAATGATTTCAATGCCTACTTCCCAGGGAACATAAAAAGCATCAATGGGAATTCCTTTAACTTGCCATTTTCAAACAAATGAAGCAACCCACATGTGCACCCATCTTTCCCTCCTGCACTCCTGACTTGGTAAAGGAGGTCTGGTTTTCCTCTCATCCAGGACCAATCCTTTCCACATTTTGTTTAGATTCCATCTCTCCATGCCTACACTATTAACCACTCCTTTTTTCTTTTGCATATCCAAGTAGCTCCTACCTCTAATAAAACCACAGCTCCCTCTGGTTATCAGTCTACATCTTGCCTTTCTTCACAGCTAAACTTCTCTATAAAGAGTTGCGTATAGTCACTAATTCTATTTCCTCATGTACTATCCATTACATAATCCACTCCAGTCTGGCTTTGGAATGCCACAAAAACAGCACTCGCATGACCATAATCTTGAGGTCAGAAAATTCAATGGACATTTTCTAGTCCTGATTTTACTTACCAGTGTTATCTGACACTTTAGATTACTCCTTCGCCTTTTGATACAATTGTTTCCTTTGAGTCCTGTGACACCACACACTCTTTCTCTTTCTTGTCACCCTATTCAACTTAACTCTGGCCAATCCCATGTCCTTTGCAGCTGTCTTTTTCCAGTCTCGTAATTGCTACATTTCCTTGGCCCTGTTTTAGTCTCACTTTATACATTCTCCCTAGTCAATCTCATCCATGGCCATGGCTTAAATTTCCACGCATGATTATTCCCAAATATATCACCTCAGCTCTCTAACTTCTCTGAGCTCCTGACACATACATTCAATTGCCTCCTAGACATCACTGGGATGTGTCAAAGGTACTCCAAATTCAACATGTCCAAAATTGAATTCGTGATCCTTCCTCTAAACCCCTGACCTTTTTTTAAAACTTCCCATCTTAGTGAATGGGACCGCTATTCATTATTTTAAGCAAGCCAAAAGTGTAAGTACCATCTTTGACACCTCCTTCTCTCTCACCATCACCATAACTGATAATTCTACCTTCAGCGTATCTACAACCTCCTAAATGGTCTCCCTATATCGATTTTTGCTCCCCTCCAATCAACATACAGCCAGAGTGACCTTTGCAAAACAGAAATCCTCATATTAACTCCTTGCTTAAAACTTTTCTGTGGCTCTTACCTTCAAAGTATAATGACAAAATTCCTTAACATGGCCAAATCCTTGCATTACTCAACACTTGTATCCCTATCTAGCCTTATATTTCTTTCTTCTTTCCTAAGAAAAATAGCAAAAGGGTCAGAGTACTCCTTCAACTTTTCACTCTGTTGGAAGGGAAGCCTTGTCCAGCCGGCAAACACAGCTATCTGTAAGATCTAGGCACTCCACAGATTGAAACATTCTGGCCCAATAAAGGCCAGAATTCCAGAAGCTTAGGCCCCTTCCAGAAATCAAGTTCACCTTCATCTTCAGGCAGAGGATGAAGACAATTAAAGGTATACCTAAATAATGTCTGTGATAAGCATTTAATAGGTAAAATAGGAAGAAATACAGTCACGTATTGCTTAATGATAAGGATACATTCTGAAAAATGCATCATTAGGCAATTTTGTCACGCAAACATCAGAGTACACTTACACAAACCTAGGTGGTACACTTATATAAACCTAGTATACACCAAGGCTATATGGAATAGACTATTACTCCTAGGCTACAAATCTGTACAACACATTTCTGTACTGAACACTGTAGGCAACTGTAATATAAAAGTATATATTTGTGTATCTAAACACATCTAAACATAGAAAAGGTACAGAGAAAATACAATATTATCTTATGAGACCATCATCATATATTCAGTCCATCATTGACCAAAATATTATTACTAAAAACAATCAAAGTATGGTTGAGTCCAGAGAAAATAGGAAACAATAATTCTGACAGACCCTAAAACACCTGAGAAACAATAACATTTAAAGGAAACACAGAGAAGTAAAAACCCATACAAGAGACTGAAAATAAGCAGATAGACAAGTAGAAGGAAAGCCAGGTGAATAAATTTCCTTAAAAGTCAAGGAGAAAAAAAGTAAATAAGTGATCAAATAATAAAATATTGCAGAATGGTGCAGTGAAATACAATTTATTTATAAATTAATTATTTTTATGAAGATTAGCCATGAGAAGGTATCTGGTGACCTTGGAAAAGTCTTATCAGTAGAATGAAGCACACAGAATCCAGGTTGAGGAATGAATTAGAGATAAGGAAGTCTAGGCTACTCTTTCAAGAAGCCTGATAAGGCAATACAGAACTAAAGATGTTTCTGGGTTGTTTTGTTTAAGGTGGTTAAGCATGTAGCATGTATGTCTATGCGCTGACAGAAAAAGAGCCAGGAGAAAAGAAGACATAAGAGAATATATCTGATGGACCCCAATTTCCTGAGGACATGGCAGAAGAGGAGCTCCAAAATGAGGTGGTGGCATTTACTTTAAAGGAGAAGAGGTAGAGTCTTCCTGACACAAGCACCATAAATGGGGCTGGGAGCTTATAAAAGTGAGGACATGGAAGAGCTGGATGAGAAAGGAAGTTGTGGTAAAAAATAAAATAAAATCCTGGAAATGGTAGAATTTGAATGAAGGAAAGAAGACTTAAAATATGGAACTATGTGAAGGAGTAATTAGACACTAGTAAGTAAGAGCTACAAAGGAGAAGGAGATCACAACACAGTGGGAAGGCACTGGGGACTTAGGAGAACCATGACTCACCTCTAAGGTCTTTACCTCAAAAAAATAATGACATGATATGCATGAAAAAGAGATGGAAACTGTAAAGTGCTATAGACATATTAGATATTCTGACAGTTCACTGGTATAATATTCCTGTTACTTTTATTATCATAAGTAATTAGATTATGTTCCCATTGAAGAACAAGCTTTGTATTTGAAGACACTGCTAACTGCTATGACTAATGATGTTAGCAAAATACCAAACTTTGTATTTTGAAAGTAGACACTAATATTTCAATATCTTTCTCTTGTTTCCTTAATTTAATGCTATAAAAAGTTCTTTCAATTTTCATAAACTAAAATATAAACCAACATGCCTCAATAGTAATCTTGATAAATACCTTCTATTTTCTCTGACTTCAAAGATTCAAAGAATGTTCTACTTGTTTTACATTTCAATGTTTCTTTTTCTGCCATTTCAGCTGGTTGAGTCTCTGATGGTTTTACATCTTTATATTTTTGTTCTTCGTATTTTAAAAGTCTAAATGACAAATAAAACAATTCTAAGAAAATAAATGGAAAATCATACCAATAAAATATTGGGCCATTAGCATATTACCTAAAATTTCACAGTTATAAATAAACAGCTTCTTAGGTTTAATAAATGCTATGGTTAACATTCTCCATAACTGAAAGATTAAATATTTATTCTGTACTTTACAATACAACATAATAGCTATTCTCTCAAGTAATTTTTGATAGGCACTTTAAAAAAGATCTGCAACATTTACATGGAGAGTCTAGTTAAATTTTAAATAGGTCTAACTGGTGTTAGCATTAAAAAATAAATATCATAAATTATCATTTAAAGTTGGAAGGGCATTACAAATCTTGATCTCATTTAAGAAGACGAAGAACTGTTACCCAACTAGGCAGAGTGAAGTCAGAACACAATTTTCTAAAATTTCATACTCATATATTGCCTTCCTTTTTTTCATAGGACATTGGCCAACTATCTACTGTTGGGAAAACTTTTTCATAAAAACAGAATCCAAAATTGCTGCCTACAATTGACATATATGATAGATCCCAGTTTTACAAAGCAGAGAAAATTCAAGGTCCTTTAAAGTCTTATATGTACTGTTAAAGTGAAAAAAGTACTTTTTCTATTGGTATGTTAAAGAAAAATACTTAATCATATCAATAAGAAGGTAATATTTATTTTCTAGGACAAAGAAAGCACATTGTCTTTGAAGTTATTTATAGATTGCTTATTAGGTATTATTCTTAAATCCTTCTCCTTTGAGCACTTTGAGTTCCTACTTTGTTTATAAGCATCTTGAAAATTTTCCTCTTTATTAAAATGTCTATTCATATCCGTTGTCTTCCCTACCTTTATTTTTTTGGTACTGAATTATTTGCCATTTTCTTAACTATGTCTAGTAGTTATGTACACATTTTGAGAAGTAATCTTTTGTCACTTTATATCTCTGATTTGGAATGATGTCTTTACTTTCTTGATGTTTTTTATAAACAGAAATTACTAATTTTAATATAATTTATCTACCTTTTCCTTTATGGCTTGTATTATTTATGACTGCTTAAGAAATCTTTCCTTAGTCCAAGCTCATGACAAAATTAGCTTATATGTTTTCCTAACAGTTTTAAAGTTTTACTTTTCACAAGTCTTTTAATTAATACATAAGTCCTTAAATCCTTGACTTTTGGGTATACTGTAGGAGACAGACTCCATTTCTTCCCATGCCCCCACCCAATACGGATATACAGGTGTCACAGCACCATTATTGAACATGCCCTCTCAATCCTCACCAACTTATAATGCCAAGTCTATGTTCACTTAAAATGAATACAGTTGTCTGTCCCTGGGTTCTTTATTCTTTATTTGTGTATCTTTGTTTCTATAGCATACTAATTAATTATGATAGCTTCATATGTTTTGATCATTGTAGGTCAAGATTCTCACATTTTCTTTATAAAAAGTGTTTTACATATTCTTGGCCCTTTGCTTTTCTATATAAATTTTGTTGCTTTCTCAAACTTTATAATTTTCTCATAAAGGTCAGAATTACATCATTTTAAAAAATTATATTTCTAGGTACCTTTTTTGATATTATTATAAATGATACCTTTTGCTTTCCTAGGATTTCTCAGTTATTGGTTAATTTCTCATATCTAACAACCTCCTTCTCACTTGTTTGGCATATCCAAGGTTGGTCTGGGGGAAGGAGCCAACAACCGTTAATTTGCCTGTCTTGTCAGAAAACACTCTGAGAAACTAAGGTTTTCTAAACTCTACAATCATCAATAAATTCTGATACGACATTTTAAGTCTTTTACTGTGGGAATGGCTTACCACTAGCCATACACTGCTGAAATCTTACTTTAGAAAAAAATCTCATTATATTTTATCTTATTTTTACCTTGGTTTTATGTTGGTTTCCACCTCGTCCATCTCTTGATTTTCAGTTGTTAAATCAATGGGCATAAATGTCTCCATATGTTTTTCTGAATGAAACTATAACTGGCTGTAAAAAAAAAAATCACATTATTATCTTTAATATATAATACAATTTGACAGCTATGACTACTGGTATTCAAAATGGCATATATAGTTCTCAGCTTCTCAACAGGCTTCATATAATATTCTGACTGCCTTTGTTTCTTATATACAGTATAATTTCCAAACCCTTGACTAAGCTAGTTAGCTTTCTCAGGGCATTCTCTATATTGTGTAACTTCCTCTGTATGGCAATTTTTTTTCCATCTTACATGCACTGGTTTATGTACATACAATTTTTGTTTACATTAAATAGCATGATAAAGATAATGAAAAGTTTTAAGATTATTTCCTTAGGGGAAATAATCAAAAAGAACTTAGGGAAGTTCATGAGAAGTAGTAGCTGAAGCTGTTGAACTAATTTTACCATTCACTAAGCACTAAAATGCTACATCTATATACTATCAGCATTCTTCAGACAGAATAGAACAGAACAAAAGTTCATTTGGTCTCAAGTCCAGTTCAAAACTTTTTTGATTTTCTGTCTAGATGATCTAATACTGACAGTGGGGTATTGAAGTCCCCCACTATTACTGTATGACAGTCTTTATATCTACTAATAAGTACTTTATGAATATGGGTCATCCAGTGTTGGTTGCATATATTGAGAACTGTTATATCTTCCAGCCGGATTAACTCCTTTATCATTATATACTGACTTTGTCTCTTTTACTATTCTTGACTTAAAGTCTGTTTTATCTACATATGGCTACTCCTACTTGCTTTTGGTTTCCATTTGTGTGGAATATCTTTTATCATCCCTTTACTTTCAATCTATATGCGTTGTTACTGATACAGTAAATTTCGTGTAGGCAGCATATAGCTGGATCTTTTTAAAATCCATTCAGCTATTCTATACCTTTTAAGTGAAGAATTTAATCCATTTATGTTGAAGGTTATTATTGATGTGTAAGGCTTTGTTCCTGTCATACTGTGAATTTGTTTTTCAGTTGTTTTACATATTCTTTCTTCATTTATCTCTTTTGTTGTCATTGTTGTGATTTGGTGGATTTCCGTAGTGATATCATTCGAGTCCTTTTCCTTTCTCCTTTGTGTGATTGCTTTATCCCTGAGTTTTATATTTTCATGTGTGTTCATGATGATAAATGTTATCCTTTTGCTACCAGGCTTAAGACTCCCTTGAGCACTTCTTAGGGGACCAATTTTGTGATCATGAATTCCCTCAGCATTTGTCTAGGAATTACTTCATTTCTCCTTCAATTATGAATGATAATTTGGCTGGATATCATATTCTTGGTTGGTATTTTTTTCTTTTAGCACTTTGAATATATCATTTATTCTTTTCTAGCCTGTAAGTTTTCTGCAGAGAAATCTATAATAGTCTAATGGAGTTTCCTTTACAGGTGACAAGTCTCTTTTCTCCTGGTGTTTTTAAGGTTCTCTCTTTGACTTCAGATGGTCTGATTATAATGTGCCATAGCCATATTGTTTCTGCCTGAGGATCAATGAGCCTATAGTATCTGAATGTCTAAATCTCTTCCTAGACTTGGGAAATTTTTATCTAGTATTTTGTAAAACAGGTTCTCTAATCCTTTCTCTCTTTGCCTTTGGGGATACTGATAATTTATAACTTTTGTCACTTTATGTTGTTCCAAATGTCATGAAGGCTTTGCTTATTCTTTTTTACACTTTATTTTTTTCTGACTGAATTATTTTAAACAAATTATCTTTAAGTTCTGAGATTATTTTTTCTACCTAATTTAGTCAATTGTTGAACCTTTCAATGTATTTTGTATTTCCTTCAATGGATTCTTCAGTTCCAGAATTTTTATTTGGTTCTTTTCAAAAATATCTTATCTCTTTAGGAAATTTCTCATTCATGTTCTAAATCACTATTGTGATTTATTTGTATTTTTTAACAATCCTCTTGTATGTCACTAAGATTCTTTAAAATCAATATTTTGAATTCTATATCTAAGATTTTGAATTTTTTTTTTTGGATTAAGGTCTATTGATGGAAGATTACTGTGTTCCTTGGGAGGTGTCATATTTCCTTGCTTTTTCATGTTTTTTATGTTTTTATGCTGATATCTGTGCATCTGGTATAACAGTCATTTTTCCTATTTTTGAATTTACTTTCATAGGGAATAACTTTTTCCTGATGTATCTATGGTACTGGCTGGTACAATACTTTGGCTCTGAGTCTGCATGTGTGTATTAGTGTATTCTCTGCATTATTTCTCTGGCTATAAACAATGTTAGTGGTATCTGTGATACACAAGAACAACAAAAAAAAAAACTACAGGTCAATATCCCTGAACATGGATGCAAAAATCCTCAGCAAAATACTAGAAACCTAATCCAACAGCACTTCAAAAAGATAATACACCATGATCAAGTGGGATTTATACTAGAAGTGCAGGGGTGGTTCAATATATACAAATCAATAAACATGATACATCACACCAACAGAATCAAGGACAAAAGCCATTTGATCACCTCAATAAATGCAGAACAAGCATTTGACAAAATTCATCATTGCTTCATGATAAAAACTCTCAACAAACCAACCATAAAAGAAACATACCTCAAAGTAACAAAGGCCACATAGAACAAACCCACAGCTAATATACTGAATGGCTTAAAATTGAAAGCCTTTCCTATAACAACTGGAAAAAGATAAGGATGTCCCTTTTACCACTCTTATTCAGCCCCATACTGGAAGTCCTAGCCAAAACATTCAGACCAGAGCAAGAAATAAACGGCATCCAAATTGGAAAAAAAGAAAATGGTCCCTCTCTGCTGATCATATGATTTTACATCTAGAAATACCCTAAAACTCCACCAAACAACTCTTAGATTTTATAGATTTTATAGATGAATTCAGTAAAGTTACAGGATACAATCAATGTATAAAAATCAGTAGCATTTCTATACACTAATAATGAAATAGTGTAGCCAAGAAATAAATCAAGAAGGCAATCTAATTTACAATAACTACAAAAGTAAAATGCCTAAAAATAAATTTAACCAAGGAGGTAAAAGATCTCTATATAGAAGACTATAAAACACTAATGAAAGAAATATGATACAAACTAATGAAAAAACATCCCATGCTCATGAATAGAAGTATTAATATCATTTAAATGACTGTATTGCCAAAAGCAATTTACAGATTCAAAGCAATTCCTATCAAAATACCAATATCATTCTTTACAGAATTAGAAAAAAAAATCCCCAAAATACATATGCAATAATGAATAAGAGCCTGAATAGTCAAAGAAATCCTGAACAAAAAGGACAAAGCTGGAGGCATCATATTACCTGACTTCAAAATACATTACAAAACTATAGTAACCTAAACTGCATGGCATTAATATAAAAATAGACATGCAGACCAGTTGTACCAAATAAACAATCAAGAATTAAAGCCACATATTTATAGCCAAGTGACTTGTAACAAAGTTGACAAGAACCTGCAATGAAGGAAGCACACCCTTTTCAAAAAATGATGCCTGGAAAACTGGACAGCCACATGCAGAAAAATAAAATTGGACCACTATCTCTCACTATATACAAAAATCATCTCTTAAATAGATTAAAGACGTAAATGTAATATCCAAAACTAGGGAAAACTCTCCAGGACATTGGTTTAGGCAAAGAATTTGTGACTAAGAGGGGGGAACGATCCAAGATGGCCGTTTAGGAACAGCTCAGGATCGCAGCTCCCAGTGAAAGCGCAGAGGGTGAGTGGACGCCGTGTTTTTATTGCCCACAGACTAGGAAATTCCCGGGAAGAGGTGCTCCACGGTCGCCAGCGCGGCTGTTTCGGCCAGCACGGCTGTGCCGGCCAGCGCCGCTGCTTTGCCCCGCGCCGCTGCTTTGTCAGTGCCCCGGAGCCGCGGTTCTCCGTACAAAATACACCGGTCCGGGGGCCCTCTTGGCTGGCGATTGGAGCTACGGGAAGTCGCCCATTCGCCAGTTCAAAAAGGGGACTGAGCAGAGAACCAGGACAGTAGATTCCAGGGCAAAAAAAAAAAAAAAAAAGCGCCACAAACCTCAGTGCCGCTGTTTAAGCCAGTGCAGTGAGTGGCCACAGGGGAAAACAAACAGACCCCGGCGCCTCTTCAACAGGCGACTGGAACACCAACTTAAAAAAGGCTCTGAGGCAGGGAGCCAGGCGATCAGGCTCAGTTGGCCCCACCCCCACAAAAGAACAGCAACCAGAAACTCTGGATTGAGAGTTTCACAGCAAGCACAGCTGAACCCAGGACGTTCCAGCTCTGTGGGGGAGGGGCGTCCGCCATTACCGAGGCAGCCCGCCGTTGCCAAGGCAACCCGCCATTGCTGAGGCAGCCCGCCCTTGCCAAGGCAACCCGCCACAGCAGAGACTCCGCCCCAACAGAGGCGGGCCACCATCGCCAAAGCAGTTCTAACTACACCCATATAAACAGGACTGCAGGGAAGTTCACTCGTCGGGGCGGAGCCCACAGCAGCTCAGCAAAGCTGCTATAGGCCGACAGTGACTAGGCTGCCTTCTTGCTGGGCTGGGCAGGTCTGAAGGAAAAAAAAAAAAAAGGCGGCGGCAGCATAACGGAAACTCATAAATAAAGCCCTAAATCCCTGGGACACAGCACCTGGGAACAAAAAGCAGTTTATGAGTTCTGCTGCAGCAGACCTAAAAGTACCTGCCCAGCAGCTCTGAATGAACAACAACAGAGCTCGCAGTTCACCATTTGAGCTCCTATAAAGAAGAGACCGTCTCCTCAAGCAGCTCCCTGACCCCTATATATCCAAAAAGACACCTCATAAAAGAGATATCAGATTGACACTAGGCGGGTATCCTTCTGGGACAAAGATAGCAGAAGAAGAAAACTGGTAACAATCCTTGCTGTTCAGCAGCTGCTGCAGGTGAACCCCAGGCAAGCAGGGCCTGGAGTGAACCTCAGCAGACCTACAGCAGAGGGGCCAGACTGTCAGAAGGAAAACCAAGAAACAGAAATAACC